AACAATAGCGGTCCAAAGGTTTTGAAATTAGTTTTTCATTTCAGTTTGTCTTATATAAATTCAGATGGCATCAAAGGGCATAGACTAAGACTCATAGAGTCTAGACAAAAATAGGTATCCAGCAATATGTTCATGTAAGTGACTGTAAGTGTGCTGCCAGGTGTGCCTGGCAAACATCCACAAAATGCTCGATTGCAGAAGGTATTCTACTTGCTAATGACTATGGGGCAAATTGATCATAGATTGGTCAAACCCTACAGACGGCTTCCATTGCAACTGGGCTGTTTGATCAATCCTCACTTATCGGAAGGTCGGCGTGTTGCTATTGCTGAACGGTTCCTGCAGATGAAACCATGCTGTGTTGACCAATGCTTTGGACAACCTGTCCTGAAGAGCATGCGTGTTGCTGGTGGGTCTCAATCTATTGTGCCACCAAATCCGTTTCATGGAGACTTAGTTCTTGGTCTTCGAACGAAAGTGTCCAACATTGAGATTGAGGACAACTTTGCCAGAGCGAGTTCCTCTCGTTGTGCTATGCGAGGTCGGAACCACAATGCATCGTCAATGACGGCAAAACATGTCACTGCTGAGGCCAAGTTGATGCTTCGAAGGCAAGTAGAGAGTCAGCGATGCACTGGTGGAGCTACCAATCATATTGTGGCAGGACCATTTTACAAGAGACCAAATTCCAAAGGAAAAAATACAACAATTAAAGATACACTCCCAATCAATCAACTCAGATTGTTACACTATGCCACTTCCAACTCGTAAGGTATGTTGATATGAATGATATGATATGACTCAGTCACACATGACTCACTAGTCTATGTTGCCACTCACATATGACATATGACTAGACTAGGTTTTAACTCAATAATTTAATAATCAATTGAAATTGATGTAATGTTTCTTAATGTTCAACTGTTCAACAAGTTTAGTGCAGCTTGAGTGTCTCACTTTGCAGGATCAATGTCTCGCAAAACGGGCTTCTCTGAATTTTTGAAGGAGAGCTATGCTGTTCAGAATGTTTTGCAAGATTCAGAAGAGTCAGACCATTGGTTTGAGAAGCGCAATCGCATATTCAATGACGCCAAGCAACAGTGGACTAGCATGTCTCAGCACGATAGGAATGAGTACAGTCAAAGGGCAATCGAATCAAACAAAGTTGCCAACCGTATTCGTGCAGACAGACTGGCTGCGCAGAAGCACATGGAAGGGGAACAGAAGCTGTCCATCAAGGAACGTGAACGTCACCAAGCAGCTCTAGTCAATATGGCAACCAATGAGAAGATTCTTTTTGATCCTGCTGCAAACAATGGAGCTTTGCCATCATTGTGCAACCCACAGCGTGTTGTTCAAAAAGCAGTTCAGCGTGGTTCATATGACATTCCAATTCATGATGAAGGATTGCCGTCTGCTGGACAAAGCTTTGATCGTTCAGCAACTGATGTGATGTCTTTGCTATCTTCAGTGACCGCAAAGGAGAAACAATCAATCCAATATGTTGCTGACAGTCAGTCTGGGTGTGGTTTTCATGGGTTTGGAGATGATCAGTTTCCGATATCTGAATCAATGCTGGAGACTGCAATGCAATCAGTGCCAGGCTTTGTGCAAAGATCACATCAGCAGTTTGTGGCAGATCATTCATTGGTATGTGATCAATCCAAACACAAGATCAACTGCCAAGATCAAGATGCAGATGTTTTGCGCAATTCCTGTCAAGAAGTTTGTGGACGCTTTTGTCGATGTGATATTTTGGATGAGCGATTGTCCGCCTATCAGAATGTTGTTGGTATGATGAGATCAATAGTTCGGGTGATGGCAAGCAAAAGATCTGTCAAGCAAGGGTCAAACCTGTACCTCTCTCCTACAGCTGATTGCTTCTTCCCCGTTTTGCTGATCCACACACCATCAACAACGCTGGCCAGGGTAGCTTACCGTATCTCATTCAAACCCATGGAGGTTGACTGGATCAGGTGTGGAGTCAGAGAGGAAGACACCACACTCTTTCTCTCTCCAATGTTTGCACCCCTGGAGGACTCAAACCGCATCATACCAACCACTGACACTATGAACGAGCTGTGCATTCTTGTTAGCAAGCATTGTGAAGCATCTTGGAAGTTCGAGGTCTTTTTCCAGTACGATGTGACGGAAAGTGCTCCAACTGAGTTTATCTTGTCTTCTCATCATATCAGGCATTCTGCAGATGCAACAACCATAGGTGAGAACGTCTTTGATCACATGAGCTCGCCTGTTCAATGCAACAAACGCAAAGGAGATGACATGTCTGGAGACTTGAAGCAAATCAACCAATTGATCAAGAAGCTGGACAAGACCCACTCATGTAGTGGTGGTGGTGGTGAAGCGCCTACACAAAGGAATTCTTCCTCTCGATCTAAGTCCAAGTCCTCTGCTGTTCAAACAGAAGAAAGAGTTTTGGCCGATATAAGTCCTAACATTGTTGAACTGTGTCATATCACATGTGAATCATGAGGTGCATTTTGCTTCCAATGGAAATTGTCAGGTAAAACTAAAACAAACATAATATTTTTCATGAGTCATAATGTGTTCATAGAATATCATATTATCAATTTATATATTACAAAAACATAAATTATGCCTGCTATTATTATTACTATATATAATACTATACTGACTATACTAAACTATATCATGTTATATATAATATATTATACTTACTACTATATGATATATGGTATTATCATCATATACTATATTACTAAATCACAATCCATAATACTTTATATCACTAGACTAGACTGCAATGATGATGTTGATCATGAGATGTGTCACAATCAAACTAAGGACAGTTGTCTGCTACAGACCAGGTGCTCTTGGAACGCAAAGTCAAGACTACCAACACTGACATTGCTCAGAGTGATGCCAACGATGCTGAACCTGATGATGTGGAAGAGGAGTGGATTGCTGCCCATGAGTCACGTTATGGCAAACCGTCCAGCAAGCCAAATGCATCAACACGGAAGTCATCGTTGGCAAAATCAGCAATCGCAAAGACATCAGACACAGCTGGCGATCAGGTAAAGACAGGACAAATGTGCAACCCTTCTGGCATCCAGTTCATTTGAACGTCCTCTACGATGCTACATGGATGAGAAGACCCACAGAGTGATAGGTGTGTTTGAGAACAACCGGCTGAAAGCACTTGGATTCTTAGTTGGATTGGAATGTAATGACTATATATCATATCTTTCAATTTGCAATTGTGGTTAAGTTAGCTATGTTAGGAGTGGGTTTATTAGACACTGACTAAGAGTAAGACTTTGATGTTGGTTGCTTTTGGCTAAGGAAGGATTACTGAGTGGAAGCAGCTTACATCTCAACACAGCATTTCAGTGGCTTGCTATCAGCATTCTCGTTGCTCTGTAGCAAGGCTTGCAAGTGTTCTACCACATGGAGCATCTGAGAAGCTTATGCAGTATCTTGTTGAGGGCCTTCGCTTTCCTTCCAGGGACGATGGAAAGAAGCATGCGGCATTGTTTCTATGCACTGGATGAATGTGTAGCATTTTGGTATTGTCCTTTGTCTATTTGTACCCCACAACTATGATTTATAACGCCGTCAGTGTAGTATGTTGGCTAATCAGCAACTTAGGTTCAACCATATTGTGTGTGATGAAGACAATGGTCAATGAGCTGATTCGCGGTGAGACACATGAATCCGATGAATTCAATCAAGTCAGGTATACAGACTAGCCAACACCTATGATTTGGGTGTTCTCGTTTTGGTGAGGTTTGTATCTTTATTTTAATGTTCCATATGAACCCATTCAAAAAAACTATGGAGACTACAGTTAGATATTGCTGCCTCATTGCTAGCATGCCTGGCTTAGTATGCTTTGCTCGAAGTAGTGTCTTTTGAAACGAATGTGAGGGGAAAATACAGCAAAGACATTGTGCGCGCATATCATGTATGTTGCATTCACAAGTCTTGGTGTGATGATATCTGGCCAAATGTTTAGTATGATGTTATTCTTATGATTCCCATATCTTATAACACAACAAACAGAATTCAGAAGCTGTTGCTGTATATGCTTTGCTGCGGTCTATCGTTAGTCAGGTTTGCCCGTTGGTGATGCCTTTCAGATCAAGACAAACAGGACGTGTTCTTTGTTGGTGGAATCTTTGTTTGACTGCCCAGATGTCAGACATTCCTCCAGCGCCAAGCGTCATTGAGTCAGCTCTTCGCAAGGATGATGACATGGACCTTGGTGGTGGTGGTGGTCATTTGTCTGTAGCCGTTGAATTCATTGCCCCAGAGGGGTACAAGGTGAAGAAGTGTAAGTACTGCAGGGCGTTGTCAAACTCCAAATCTCCGCTGCCTACTTCAGTGTTTCCTTCATGGGCACCATGTATTCCTTGGGGTGACGGCAAACTTCTCCGTCCCAAAGGATTGACATGCCGCATTTGCATCAATGTCACTACCTGAGGTTGACTCACTCTGTTATGTTTTTGTTGTCCTTGTTCCTTGTTCTTGTTTACTGATTGTGTTTGTTTTCTGATTGTTCTGTATATGTTGTTTACAGCTCCCAGTGAGGTCTTTCTGAAAGGTGGTTGGGCTTCAGAGTGCACTCCACAAGACATGACTGGCTTTGATGCTTTGATTCAGAAGGATCCAACGCGCCTATTGAACTTCCTGGTTTCTTGCTCATCATCGAAAGACCTTTTTTGTTTTTAGATTTGTTTATGAGGTCTGTTTTGGTGCACCCATGTACTACCTCATGTACCACATGTCACATTCATGTACCAAATAACTTGCACCATATACCATTTACCATATACCACATACATCTACCATGCACCATGCACCATGTACCATGCACCATGGTGCATGGTACATGGTGCATGGTGCATGGTGCATGGTAGATGTACATGGAACATAGTACAAGTTATATGATATATGTGGAACACTACATGGTCCATGATTGAACATATTTGTATGTCAATCTATGTGCATTTCAGGCTCAACGTACTCGCTACATCGAGATCAGAGTGGAGAACCCACAGCTTCGCCTGTCCAATGATGTCGACCTTGGTCCAACAAAGCGGGTGTTGTGCACTCAGACACGGAAGACATCATTGAAAAAGCCTAAGACCTGCTTTGTGGAATGGAATACCTACATGAAGGACTATCCACAGGAGGCGACCAAAATCACTGATGCTGAGAAGGTGTGGGAGCAGATTGATGGCGAATGGGTGCATGGAGCATCTTGATGTATGTTTCGGTCATCATTTAGTTTAGGTTTAGGTTGGTATCAGTTTTAGCTTAATGTTCATTCACCAAATTTAAAAACTCATCACTGCAAGGTAAACATCCAGATTGGGCGCAAGGGATACTATGAACGAGACGACTTGATTGAGAAGGCAGCTACTTTGGAGATGGAAGTGTACAATGCCGATGCGGAGCTTGATCCTAATGCTCATGAAAAAATGTTCAATGCTGCTTCATCGCACGTTCTTCCCAAAAGGCCAGCTGTGGAATTGGAAGGATTTGAACTTCAGTTGCCTTTCTTCCAGATCACCAATCAGTCCAGCCAAAGCCAAACTACATCAGATGCAGCCAATACTGAACCTGTCTTGAACATTTCAGAGACTGCTAAAGAAGAAGACGAAGATGACAGCCAGCAGGACAACTTGAATATCTCACCTTGGGGGGGCATGCTAGCAGCTGGCAAAGCCAGGGCACTTCCAGGGCCTAAGGCAATTCCAGGGCCTAAGGCATCAGCAGTGCCCAAGGCAAAGCAAACTCCATTGCCGAAGCAAGCTCCATTGCCTAAGCGTGAGAATACTTCTTCGAGTCAAAACAGTCGGCCAACCAAGTCCAGAAGAACAGCTGATACCACCAATGATGGTCCAGCAACCATTGACTTTGCCAATGACGCGACCAAGTCCAAAACAAAAAACAATTTGGATGAGTCAGACAAAGTGACCTTAGCAGAATATGAGAGAAAGCTCCAAGACAAACGAGACTTTTTGCTGGCTGATGCTACTGACACAGAGCAGGGCATTCAGGAGCTACTTAAGAATTCCATGAAATCCTTGGTTGGCCTCAGCCAGGAGATCCAGAAGAAAGTCAAGTCCATTGGTCGACGAAGGACATCTGGACAAGACGACACCCTCAAGGTCAAGCTGAACGAGCTCAATGAAGAGACTGTAGCAGTTCGCTTGGTTTGCCAGCAGCTATTGAACTTCAGTGGTTCTGAAGGTAGCGATCAGCTTGTCAAGCACAGTGAGAGCTGGACATTTCATATCGCCATTTGGAAGCGAGCCTTCAAACTGTCAATGCTTGGCTATCTGAAGTATGGGGACTGGAATGCTATGTCAGAAACGCTACGTCCAAAGATCATTGACAAGTTAGGTGAATCAGTTGGAGGTTCCTTCTTTCAACTCCTGATCAACGAGGTCTTCCAAAAGCTATTGCGCTCATTGAGAGTTGAAAAGGTCATTTGGATTGACTTTCAATAGGTTTTGTTTGATGACTACACTGCACTATAATATTTTTTTTTATTTATGTCATTTTCATTTTCTATTTACTCACTATTTGGACAAGATTTGGACTTAGGCTCTAGACTCTAGACTCTCTGGACAATGGATTGTGGAAAGTCCTTGCTGAGGCAAAATGGGGTGATGAAATCCTGAAGTCTCTCAAGGACTTTGCGTGCCACTTGATCGACCAAGACTTTGTCAAAAAGTCCACAGAGCTGCTTGAAACAATTGAGAAGTTCAGCATCGTTCTCGCAGCAGAGAAACATATTGGTGGGCATGTTGTCAAAGCTGTGGACATGATTACAACCAAAGCATCTGGCAGAGAACACCCTGATGGTGGACTTGCTGCCGTGATCTTGGGAATTCCTCAAGGGAAGGCAATGCTGAAACGCGCCAAGGAGATTGCTGATGCCAACTCGGAATCAAATGAGCTGGCAGACACTTTGTCGGAATGTTGTTCTCTTGCATCAGCGTGGCTCACACAAAGTCTGGAACATCACCAGATTGGGAGAAATTCACTGAGATTGCAGAGAAAGCCTCAGACTCGATTGACAAGATTCTTTGCAAAGGCAAGAGCCAGTCCAACACAAGCTTTGCAACAGATGCCTGCAAGAAGATCTCACAATTCATTTCCGAGGCGTGCTCAAAATATTTCAAGCATGTAGTCTTGCCTTGGCTCAACAGTGTGCACGATGCCTATCCAAAGGGCTCTGCCATTGAGCCTCCGTCGACCTTCCTTACTTGCAGTGATCCAAAGAGTGCTACCAAAGTCAAAGGCATACCTGTCAAGGTGCTGGACATCTTCTCAGTGACTGTGGAAGCCCAACTCAAGCTTGCTGAATTTCACAAGGAGTTCTCAAAGCTTCTTTGTGGCACGATTGACACACATCATTCAGCATCCCTGAAGGACAAATTTGTCAAATTCAGCAATTCCAGTATGGCCAAGCTGAATGAACATGGTATCTTTCCAGATGAGTTTGATCGTGCATTCACAAAGGTCACCAACGTTTTGGACACATCTTTGGAACTCAAAGTCAGCAAGGAGATCAAGGCAACCATGGCAAACATGGGGGATCTACTTGGGAATGTTCCTTGGACAAAAGTGTGTTTTACTTTGACTTTGACTTTTGTTTTGAACATTACTAAAGTTAACTTATAACGTATGTCACTATATATTAATTAATAATGTCACTAGTCACTAGACTAAACTATACTAAAACTCAAACAAATACTCAAACTTTAGTAACTAAAGAGTGTTTGTGACTAACAAAGATGAGTGACTGAGAGTTTTAAACTCAGCAATGTTCAAGGTGACCATTCCATCTTCGATGACCAGTGACTCATTGAAGTCCATTGACAACATGTCTGAGCAGCTAATGCTTTTGAGCGTATCATTGGATTCCAACAAAGTTGCTCTTGTAGCAGCATCTGCGTATTTGGTCAACGCATGTGCAGCTGCAGGAAACTTGAATGAATAATTGTACTCAAATGGTTTACTTTACTTGTGAGTGTTTGTTGTCTTTTGTTTGGTTGAATTTGATTATGTCTTATCAACATCCCTTTCACTCGTGATTCTTGCTTAACCTGACTATCAAGGAACTCTCACAAGCAGCTGTACTGGCACAGAAGACCGTGAGACTCTGAAGCCAATGCTATGTCCATACATCCGATTCAACTTGGCGGCCAAGACCTTTGTTGACAAGGGTGGCATTGTTGACAAGGATGGTGGTGTGCCAGCTGATCCAGTTCAAGCGTCTATGCTTGTGGTCTACCACGAATTGATGCAAGCGAGCAATGCTTTCAAGAAGAGCTTTCCAAATCCTGGTAGCTTTACTGACATCTATGAGGCGCTCAAGAACTCTTGTTGTGCACTCATTTTGGCCAGGAAAGAGTTCTATGACACTTCATCAGCTGTGCCATTGTCTGAGCTCACACCCATGTTGAAGGCGGTTCCCACTTTGAACACTGATGATTTGAAGTCATATGTAGCAGCGGTGAAGCCAAATGAAGGACATATTCTCAAGCACAGTGGCGATGCTGACAACATCATGGTCTCTATTCAACGTGATCGTGATGCATTCGGATGTGGAATCTCTGATTTGAGCACCAAATTTGCAGTTTCTTGCTTGCACACCATGGCCAATGGCCAATGACCATTATACACAACCCTAGCTTGATGGACAATGGACAATGGACCGCACAAATGATTCAAGACTCATGACTCAAGACTCAAGACTCAAGATTCAGACTCTGACTTTGACGTTTTGATCAGATCTGACTTTAGGAGACTGGACTTGGCTATAATCAATAATTAATAATGTGTTCTGACAACTAACCCGACGGTGACTAATCCTATTTTTGTACTAGTAACTAGTAACCAAGTACTGAGTCTAGTGACTTAGTCTTAGTCGTTGTATTTGTGACAATTCATGGAATTGTTTGAATACGATTGAAATGAGGAACTTCGTTCAGCTCACCGTCAATCAATGGAGGTCATGGCTGAGTATTCTGCTTGCGTTGCTCTTTCAATTCCAGCGGTGAAAACATGGCTTTCCAAGGGTGACTTGACTGTGACTGTGTTTCTCTATTTCATAGCTAATCAAATCTGTCTATTGATTGGATTAGATTGAAGTTTAGTTAGTTTGTTTTACAACTTCAATTGGTTTGTTGTTGGACTTTTGATATTGCAAGCAAGGTCAGAAAGCAACTGGTCAGGCAAAAACTATCCTATCCAATTTGTTGCGATCAACAAAGTCGCAGTCTTTGGAGATCAGTGCAACTCTTGTCTCAATGATCACATCGCTATTGTGATCCCAGAGCAACATCGATGATGAATCGTGTGTGGACTGACTCATGGTTTGTCTTGAACTTCTGAGAGTCATGTGCGATTGTTGTTGCACCGTCTGATGGCATGGGACTCACTGAGATTCAGTGACAAAGGCTATCAGTGTGATGAATTGCATGAATCAACACCATAGACGGCTCTCTAACACTCACAAAGGTCTAGCTGCTAGATTGATAAATGAGTTTGATTGGCATCTCTTTGGTATTTGTGACTTGTGTATTGACAAACTAGCAAATTATTCCAAGATTGTCAGATTCATGAGTCAATGACAAGGAAGGATTATGTGCGATTCCATGTGTGTGATTATTTTGTTTGTTTGCGATTACATCTGTATGTGTGCAAGACACAGCAGACTCAGCAGACCTTTCAATCCATTAGTTGCTAGCTGCATGCTGCAAGACAAACGACTGAAGATCCAACAAACGGAACAGTTGACAAAAAGAAAACAGTGTGCACGAATTGAATGCATGCCAACACTTGATGTGCTGCAAAATTGTAAGTAATATTACATCGAATGATTGATGCATTTCATTTCACTACGACTATGACTATGACTCTAGAACTAGACTATGGCTGTGAATGTGTCAAGAGTCCGTAAGTTAAGTATACTTCACTACTGACTGTACTGTCACTTTTGTAACTGTTTATCATGTTGCAGGCATTGTGGATCACCTGTATGCCAAATAGACTAGGCTGGACTTTGATCAGAGCCTGACCAGCCATACTAATCTGACATGGCGCCCAAAAATAACACAGCCAAAGCCAAAGCCAAGGCACTTGCGCCACCAAAGTCTTCAGCAAAATCAAAGCCTAAGGCTAAGGCTAAGGCATCCGCGGAACCAGCCACAGACGAGATGTCATCGTCAACAGATGTGGAAATCACAAATGAACGTCCAACCAAAAGACCCAAGGCAGTTCCCAAGCCAGCTGCAAAGAGCGCAAGTGAGCCAAACCCATGGAACACCAAGCCAGATGCAAACCAATCATCCATCATGCAGTTTATGAACCCACCACAACAGATAAGCACACATCAAGAAACCACACCATCAGCGGCACACCCTGCAGCTGACACCTCCGCTGTGCAATCAGCCTCAACAAACACTTCAGAAGCACATGCAACAACAGAAGTGGCAACGCCAAAGCATGATGAACACATGGAAGCGCAACCAGAAGCTCCACAAGAGCCAGCACACGCAGGAGCACCAGCAGTGGAAGTGGCAACACCAAAGCATCAGCATGATGAACACATGGAAGTGCAACCAGAAACTCCACAAGAGTCAGCACATGCAGGAGCACCAGCAGTGGAAGTGGTAACAACAAAGCATCAGCCTGATGGACACATTGCGACTGTTGCACAACCAGAAGCTCCACACGAGCCAGCGCATGTGGAAGCATCAACAACGGAAGTGGTAACAACAAAGCATGCTGAACACATTGCGCAACAACCAGAAGCTCCACAAGAGCCAGCGCATGCAGGAGCACCAGCAGTGGAAGTGGCAACACCAAAGCATCAGCATGATGAACACATGGAAGTGCAAACAGAAGCTCCACAAGAGTCAGCGCCTGCAGGAGCGCCAGCAGCGGAAGTGGTATCACCAAAGCAGCCAAATCATGATGAACACAGTGTGCAACAACAACCAGACGATCCACAAGAGCCATCACCTGCAGCAGCAGAACAATCACCAAAAGCAAATGATGCTTCTAAGACTACTGCTATGTCATCACCGGATGTTCCACAGAAGCACAGCGCACCAGCTGTGGACAATGCCAATGACAACAATGTTTCAAAGACTCTAGAACTTCTTCTTGCCTCACACAGCTCTGACCCACAAGTGACACCACCATACAATTCCCATTCCGCTTTTGCGACAGCAGTCACTGAGATGGTTGATCATGCCAAGACTCTTTTCCTGTTCAGAGAGTTCTTATATGATCACACAGATGCCTTCCAGGGTAGTCTGGTCACACAAGTCGTGGAACTACATGAGTTCAACCAATTTCTTCTCCACTCAGCAGCCCCATCATCCACACTTGCATCTGGCTTATCAACCGCTCTTACATACCTGAAAGCAAACCCACAAGGAGGTACACCAGCAGAAGCCCACATCAAACAAGAAGACTCACACAACAACAA